AGCTTCTTTCATCAACTCATCTTTGGCTAGAAAATGACAGAGAAGTGCTAATGGCTTGGGTAAAGTGGAGCCGTCTTGTAATAGTTTGATAATCCATTTTTGGACAACAACAAAACAGAACACAAACCCATTTAGATTTACTATTTAACGAGAATTACTAAATTTGCTAAAAGGGACAACTCACCTTACACCAACATGGTTACATTGTTTGATAGGATTTGAAATGGTGAAAACTTCATAAGTAATTAACATGATTTATATGTGATGCATGAGTGCATGACGAACATGACATCAAGAATGACTCAATAGTATCAACCTGTATTGATCTACATCGAGAAAATAAAAATATTAATCCATTTATAGTCATTATCGAATAGAATTATAAAATCCATTAAAATGGATGGTAACCAACTGAATTTCTTGGAAAGAAAACACAAATCCTTTTAGATTTATTATTGAATGAGAATGAATAAATCTGATGCATTAGAGCTGGGTTTCTACAAACTAAGAAAGAGATATTTAATTCTGGGTTCCAATCTTCTTCTTTATTATCACTAACCAACGTAATATATAGAGTTACATCAATGAAATAATTTGCGGAAAGGAATAACAATCCAACACATAAAAGGAATGGGAAACCAACTTCCCTACAACAACGGAAACAGACCGCTACTCCATCATGTATCAATCCACGAACCGCGGATTGGGCTTCGGTACTCGCGGCGATCGTCACGGCCCTTGAATCAGCTCGTCCATCTTGGCGGGAGGCTCTTCGGGTGGCTCCTCCTCGGCCTGCTCCGCATCAATCTCCCCACCTTGAAGCTCGACCTTGCCCTCAAGGTCGAAGTCAGGAAACCGACGACGCAGCTCTTCGTAGCTTTCCCAAGTGGCTTCTTCACGCGGCAGATGATGCCACTGCACTAAGCACTCTTCAATGACTCCTCCTTTTCCCCGGGTCCAACGATGATCCAAGACTTCCAGCGGCAAAACCTCCAATTCCCCTTTATCATTAACAGGTGGCGCATCAATCATCACACCTTCTGGATCACCTACATACTTCTTGAGAAGTGAAACGTGGAAAATGGGGTGAATCCGTGCTCCTTCGGGCAACTCCAGCCGGTAGGCCACTTCGCCCACGAATTTGATAGGGCCCAAAGTACCTTGCCGCAAGCTTCTGAGATGCACGCTTAAAAACAGTAGATTGGCGGTACGGGTGAAGGCGTAGCAAAACCCACTCACCTTCTTCATACGATACGTCTCGTCGACTTGCATGGGCCAGTTGTTTAGCCTTCAAGTTAGCTGCCTCCAAATTCTTCCGCAAATTAATCAGGGCCGCATCCCTCTCCTGCAATAGCTCATCAACGCCAATCACTGGGCTGGCCTGCGCGCGATACGGAATGACCGGTGGCGGTTCACGACCATAGAGAACCTGTAAAGGGGTCGTTCCTATCGTGCGATGGTACGTGGAATTGTACCAAAACTCAGCCCATGGAAGCAATGCGAGCCATCTCCTCGGGTGCTGTTGCGTGAAACATCGCAAGTACTGCTCCAAACATCGATTGACCACTTCCGTTTGTCCGTCAGTCTGTGGATGATAGGCCGTGCTCATGAGCAATCTCGTCTCGAATTGCATAAAAATCTCCTTCCAAAAATTGCTTAAGAACACCTTGTCACGATCGCTTACAATAGTAGCCGGTATCCCATGATGTCGAATGACCCCATCAATGAAGGACTCGGCAACGGTTTTGGCTGAATAAGGATGGTCGAGGGCCATGAAATGACCGTACTTGGTCAAACGGTCCACCACAACAAACAAAACCGACTTCCAGCCACCATCGGCAACCCTTCCACGAAATCCATGGACACTTCCTCCCATACTTGTCTCGGAATCGGTAATGGTTGAAGCAACCCTGCCGGTAAAAGCCCTGCCACCTTAACTCGCTGACAAATGTCACAAGATCGAACATAGTCACGTACAGCCCTCGCCATCTGCGGCCAGTAATAATGGTTACTTAGTCGCCTTAGGGTTCGCTCGATCCCGGAATGTCCTCCTACCGCGGAATCATGGTACTCTTTGAGGACCGTAGTAACCAAGGAGGAATGAGGAGGCAAGACGATGCGCCCCTTGAAAATAACTAGCCCTTCCCGGAGCTCATAATCACCTGGTTCGTCGGACATTGCCTTATCCCGTAGCTCCTTAAGGTAAGGATTGCTCGCCACTGCCTGTCGCAGATCTTCCCATAGTGTGGCCTCCGGTCTTGAAATGGCTTGTAGGTATGCAGTCCCGGCGCGCCTAGAGAGCCCGTCGGCTGCCTTATTAGCGAAGCCCGATTTATAATGCACCTTGAAATCATATCCCATAAGCTTCGCGACCCACTTGTGTTGATCGGGTGTGGTAATTCGTTGTTCCAGTAAATGCCGAAGACTTTGCTGATCTGTGAATATATGGAATGTTCGGCCGAGCAGGTAAGGTCTCCACTGTTGTACTGCAATGACGACCGCGAGCATCTCCTTCTGGTACGTTGACCACGACTCCTTCTTTGGTCCTAGGAGGCAGCTCATGTAAGCGATGGGGTGGCCGTTTTGCGATAACACCGCTCCGATTCCCTTTCCTGACGCATCCGCCTCTATAACAAAAGGCTCCTCAAAGTTCGGCATAGCTAGCGTCGGTGTCGTGGTCATCGCTCGCTTTAGCCCTTCAAAAGCTGTCGCGGCCTCTTCGTTCCACATGAAACCGCCCTTCTTGAGCAAGTTGGTTAAGGGCCGCGCAAGCGAGCTGTAGTTTTGGACAAATTTTCGGTAATACCCCGTTAACCCCAGAAATCCTCGTAGCTCCGTGACATTTTGCGGTGTGGGCCACTCTACCATGGCTTTAATTTTTGAGTTGTCGACGTGAACCCCTTCCGATGAAATAATGTGCCCCAAATATTCCAATCGTTGCAATCCAAACACACACTTAGACCTCTTAAGATAATATTGGTGTTGGCGAAGAATGTCCATGACCGCCTTGAGGTGTATAAGGTGCGTTGCCCAGTCCTTGCTATAGATCAAGATGTCGTCGAAGAAAACCAGCACATACTTGCGGAGGATGGGTCGAAAAATATCATTCATCGCCGACTGGAATGTGGAGGGTGCATTACATAGGCCGAATGGCATGACGAGGTACTCGTAGTGCCCGCTATGCGTTCGAAAAGCCGTCTTGAGTACGTCTTCTTCTCGCATGCGTATTTGGTGATAACCAGCGCGCAAGTCAAGCTTTGAAAAGTACTGAGAGCCATGGAGCTCGTCGAGCATGTCATCCACCGTGGGAATGGGGAAGCGGTCCCTAATAGTGGCCTTGTTCAAAGCTCGATAGTCAGTGCAGAACCTCCAAGTGCCGTCCTTCTTCTTAACTAGCAGAACCGGAGATGAAAACGGGTTTGAGCTTGGACGAATAAGTCCTGACTTCAGCATCTCACTAACCTGTCGTTCGATCTCTTCTTTCTGGAAGCGAGCGTAGCGATAGGGTCTCACGTTGATTGCCTCGGTTCCCTCTTTAAGGTTGATGCGATGATCGATCGGACGAACTGGCGGTAGACTGGTGGGCGTTTCAAAGAGATCGTTGAAGCTGTCGAGTAAACCGACTGGGTTGACGACTCCACCCGCCTCAGGAACACACAAGGCCCAAACGGCCACTTCCCTTGGTCAGATCAGCTGGGGTTGGTTATCCCGAACGGTGGATGGGTGAATTCCTTCGAGGGTAACCCAACGCCCTTCGTTTTTGAAGCGGAGGTTTAGCTGTTGCCAGTCGATGGTGATAGGACTGTATTGTCGTAGCCACTGTACCCCCAAAACTACGTCAATACCCTTGACGGGTAACTCATAAAGGTCCACCTTTATTCTTTCCCCCTGAATGTCAAGGATGATCCCTTCGTAACACCTTTCACAGCACAAGAAGTCCCCGTTGGCTACCTTGACGCGGAACGGCGGTATAGGTGCTGGTGACAACGCTAGGTCCTTAGCGACGTCGCTGTTGATGAAGTTGTGTGACGACCCGCTATCAACCAAGGCGACCAATGCCTCTTGCTGCAGCTTGACGGCCAAGCGGATGGTCGTTGGGTTTGAAACCCCGGTGAGGGCGAACAGCGAGACTTCGGCATCGGGCGGTTCTGGTGGTCGTTTTTGTGGCCCGAGGGTTTCGCCAATTGCTATTGTAGTATGGACGTCGTGACGACCGCATTGTGCGATCGGCGGCGCGTGCCCTGGGAGCGGACTCGAGCTCGGTTCTATCGAACCGGGCTCTGATACTAATTGATGCATTAGAGCTGGGTTTCTACAAACTAAGAAAGAGATATCTAATTCTGGGTTCCAATCTTCTTCTTTATTATCACTAACCAACGTAATATATAGAGTTACATCAATGAAATAACTTGCGGAAAGGAATAACAATCCAACACATAAAAGGAATGGGAAACCAACTTCCCTACAACAACGGAAACAGACCGCTACTCCATCATGTATCAATCCACGAACCGCGGATTGGGCTTCGGTACTCGCGGCGATCGTCGCGGCCCTTGAATCAGCTCGTCCATCTTGGCGGGAGGCTCTTCGGGAGGCTCTTCGGGTGGCTCCTCCTCGGCCTGCTCCGCATCAAAATCCACTAAAATGACAGTTCAACTCCCACTAACATTACATTGTTTGGTACATTTTCAAATGGTATGGTGAAGATTTCGTAAGGAACCTAGTTTATATGTGAAGTATGACCAACATAAAGTCGATGAGATTTAATAGTATGAGCTCGTATTGATCTACACGCACTAACCTATACCTTTCCGGTCTAGAGTGATGAATGCGTTCCCAGATGCGCTCTAAGCTGCTGCCTACCCAATTATTGCTAAATGTTTCCAGAGTTAAGCTTTGATGAGGAATCAAAATTGGGGAAAAAGAAGAAAAACAGATGCTAAACCAAAAGCCGCAAGCAATCTCTAACCCTTTTGCTTTAATTATGCATTAGACAGATTCCTTCCTGCCATTCATTTTGATCCCCTCCCTTTACAACAACCACCCTGACACATTACTACATTCTCTCCATATATATCTGCACCTCCATCTCCATTCTTCAGTACTCTAATCATCAATTCGAAGAAATGGACGGGGTGGTGGTTTACAGGCGATCGGCGTCGAGGCTGACGATCGGAGCTCACTTGTTCGGGGTGTTGGCGATTGTTCTGATGCTGATATGGTTGCTGCACTACCGCGGCGGCATTGAGTACGACTCCGACAACCCGGCCCGCGTCTTCAATGTACGCACTAATTTGCCCATAACCAAAACCTTCCATTATTGCTGTGTTCGGTGTTCATCAACTTCCATCTCTATGCGTCTTTACTTACTGTCGATCGACTCGCTGCAGGTTCATCCTTTCCTCATGTTCTGCGGCTTCATCTTCCTCGTTGGTCAAGGTAACTCCTCCTAACTGAACTTAATTAGTAGTGAGCATCACCCCTGGAACAATTTACATGTTGGTCTGGTTGACAAGTATAAATTTCTAGAGGTGGCAAGTGGTTAGGGTTCGCGTTGTTCGTCGAAACGTATAGTTGGGAGTGAATGAATGATATACTTTCGATAATTTGATGTATTTGAAAAGTAATGTGTTATTTTACCATGGGTTGCTAAAGTTTTTAGTGTTCAAGTTAGATTAATTTCTTAATGGCAAAACGATGAGAAGGATCATGATGTAATACTATCTCATGATTGATACTAAAAAATTGACATAATATCTTTGTACAAATTAACGTAAGACTTACATGTTTAGACACGCTAATACATAATTTTGAAGAAAATATTTGGTATTGTTGGTATGTGGCTAAATTGTAAGTGAAAAAAAAAATGTTTAGATACTAGATGATGCCCACTAATTAGCTATGGACAATAGTTTGATATAGTCCAGTACCACCCTGCAGACCGAATAAAAATAGCACAAAGTTGGAAAAAAATAAAATCATTGATAGCCAAAACTAGATTGCAAAAGGTTCCATACAATCCGGTCTGCTCTTTCATTACTAATTAACAAGGTTTATGGAGTTAAAAATCGAATTCAATCGATCCAAATATCAATAGGATCCGATTTAGTTCAATATGGTCTAAATCGTTGCACACTCATTCCCCTAATTTGAGTTGGATGAATCGCGAGTGGGTTAATCGCATCCCGATTTCTTACAAAATCTCCTCCCTATGCAGCAATGATGGCATACAAAACCGTGCCGGCAGCCAAACAAGCACAAAAGGTAGTACACATGATGTTACACTTAGTCGGCATAGCTCTCGGCATCGTCGGAATAGCCGCCGTGTTCAGATTCCACGACATGATAGGCGCAGAAGACATGGTCAGCCTCCACTCATGGATTGGGCTCACAACCTTCATCATGCTGGGCCTCCAATGGCTGTTGGGCTTGGTCTCCTACATGTTCCCCAAGGCAAGCCTGGAGACGAGGTCCAGAATGATGCCGTGGCACATAAGTTTCGGCAGGGCGCTTCTGTATATGGCCGTTGCGGCGGCGCTCACGGGGCTCATGCAGCGAGAAACGCTTCTGAACCTCCGTGGACACGCCGAGGCCCGGCTCATCAACTTTACCGGGCTTTGTATCTTGCTCTTTGGAATTTTTGTCGATCTCTCGGTGGCCATGGCTCACCATGCCTGACCGGCCGGCGAGTGTTTCCGGCGGGCAGTTTGTTTGTTTGTTTTCATGGAATTTTCGACCCAAATTGAATGTGTGTGTGAGTGTCACAGCCGGGGTGGAGAGTCTCGAGAACTCGACGGAATAGCAATGGCGATTTCCTTTGCGGCGGAATGTTTGGAGATGCTGGGCTGGAGGGAAAGGTTGTTACGCAGCTGAATGGTAAAGTAAGAGAGAGAGATAGAAGAGAGAGATAGAAAGAAGAGGGAGAGCAGATTGTATTATTTCCAACGTAAACTGAACAAGTGGGACCGGCTCTACTTATACGATCCGTTTTGCCCAATACATCAACACTCCAGCTTCTCACTCTCGTCCTCATTCTTTTATTTATCTACAATTAAGTCCGGTCTGTTACAGGTCTCCCTCCTTCACTGAAGACTTGTCCTCAAGTCTGGAATTCTGGATACTTGGCTTTAAACTCATCAAGGAACTCCCAAGTAGCATCTGCAGCATCCTGATGAGACCATTGGACGAGCACCTGGGTAGCAGCCTTGTTGTCACGAGCGACCACTTTCCTGGCCAGGATCTCCATGGGCTCCACCTTCAAGCTTCCTTGGTTGTCATAATCGGGCAAGGCGGGTTGGACCATCACCTGCGCTCCTGCAGCTTTCTTAAGAAGGGAAACATGGAATACAGGATGGATAGAAGAGTTTGGCGGCAGCTGCAGTCTGTAAGCCACGACACCGATCTTCTTAAGAATGAGGAAGGGTCCATAATATTTGGCAGCCAACTTCTGTGCAGTCCTTGTTGCCACTGTCACCTGTCGATAAGGTCTAAGCTTCAAATACACCATGTCACCTTCTGCAAAGACCCTCTCAGTACGATGGCGGTCCGCCATCTGCTTCTGTCTGTTCTGAGCCATAGCAAGATTCTCCCTAATGACCTTGATCAAGTTCTGCTGCTGTTGAAGCTTTTCCGCAACTGCTGCCACTGAAGTGGATAAGGGATTCCTGACTTCAAACTGCGAAGGGGGATAACCGTAGAGTACCTCAAATGGAGTCAACTGCAGACTGCTGTGATAGTTGGTGTTGTACCACCATTCAGCAAGAGGAAGCCAAGTACTCCACTGCTGCGGAGAATGATGTACCATGCTCCTCAAATAGTCTTCCAAGCATCGATTTAACCTCTCTGTTTGGCCATCTGTTTGGGGGTGATAAGCTGTTGAATAATGGAGATCCACTCCTTGTAAGTCAAACAACTTGGTCCAGAAAGAGCTGGTAAAGACAGCATCTCGGTCTGATACGATTGTTTGGGGCATTCCATGAAGTTTAAAGATTCCCTCGAAGAAGATTTGAGCTACACTGCTGGCTGTATATGGCCTTGTCAAACCAAAGAAATGCCCATACTTTGAAAACCTATCCACCACCACAAACACAACCTCCTTCCCTGCAGACTTGGGCAATCCATCGATAAAATCCATTGAGACATGCTGCCAAGCTCTCTCGGGAATTGGCAGAGGCTGCAGTAAGCCAGGATAGGGAACATTCTCAGACTTGCATCTTTGGCATACATCACACACTCTCACAAACTCTTTAACCTGTAGTTTAAGGCCAGGCCACCAAAAATACCGCTTCAATCTCAAATAGGTTGCCTGCACCCCCGAATGACCCCCAATTGGAGAATCATGGAACAACTTTAACAATTTAGCTCTCATATCCCCCACAGAACCAACATAAAGAGCTTCCTTGTGATAGAGTAATCCCTGCTTTACTGAATTAATCCGAGGACCAACAAAAGGAACTGTTGCTTCTAGCATCAGATTCTGAACATCAGTATCACCTACATAGGTTAGTTCCAGTTCACTCAACCAAGCTGGCAGCACAGCCGAGATGGCTTGACACTCAGCCTTAGTTGCCCCTCCAACTTGAAACTGAGGATGCCTGGACAATGCATCAGCCACCCTATTGAATCTGCCTTGCCTATATTTGATCTCAAAATCTAACCCAAGCAACTTAACAAGACCCTTCTTTTGAATGTGAGTGTGGATCTTTTGGCCAAGAAGGTGTTTAAGACTCTCGTGGTCCGTGAGGATGGTGAAAGTCCTGCCTTCCAAATAGTGACGCCATTTAGTCACAGCCAGCAACACTGCCAAGTACTCCTTCTCATAGGCGGATAACCCTTGCTGCCGTAGTCCCAGTGCTTGACTATGATAAGCAATAGGTCTGCCCCCCTGAGACAGGACAGCCCCGATACCCACATCACTAGCATCCGTTTCCAGCTGAAATGGAAGGGAAAAATCAGGTAACGCGAGCACAGGAGCTTGGGACATAGCTGTTTTGAGCATATTAAAGGCTCTATCAGCAGTAGCAGACCAAAGGAAACCATCCTTCTTAAGCAATTCAGTGAGAGGCCTGCTGATTGCTCCATAATTCTTCACAAATTTACGGTAATAGCCAGTTAGACCGAGGAAACCACGCAACTCTTTGATGTTCTTGGGAACAGGCCATTTAACCATGACCTCTACTTTGCTGGAATCAGTCGCCACACCCTGCTCATTGATGACGTGACCCAAATAATCCACCTCTCTTTGAGCAAAAGAACACTTGGATGGCTTAGCAAATAGGGAATGTTGGCGGAGGATTTGAAGGGTTTGGGACAAGTGTTGACAGTGAGAAGTTTGGTCAGGGCTATAGACAAGGATGTCGTCAAAGAAAACAAGGATAAATTTGCGAAGGTAAGGGCCAAAAATTTGGTTCATAAGGGCTTGGAACGTGGCTGGGGCATTGGTCAGCCCAAAGGGCATGACTTTGAACTCGAAGTGGCCGTGGTGGGTACGGAAAGCGGTTTTATACTGGTCAGCGGGGTGCATCCTAACCTGATGGTAGCCCGACAGGAGGTCAAGCTTGGTAAAATACTTGGCTCCTCCTAACTCATCTAACAGGTCATCAATAACGGGGATAGGAAATTTGTTTTTGATAGTAATGGAGTTAAGCTGGCGATAGTCAATACAAAAACGCCAAGTGCCATCTTTTTTAAGCACTAAGAGGACAGGAGAAGCAAATGGACTTTGGCTAGGTTGGATGAAGTCAGCTGTCATCATTGCATCACACAGTTTTTCTACTTCTATTTTTTGGGGAAGGGGATAACGGTAAGGTCGGAGATTAACAGGGGAGGATCCAGGTTGTAAGGGAATGGTATGGTCACAATCACGGGACGGGGGAAGGGAAGTGGGTTTGCCAAAGACATCCTTGTATTCATCAAGAATAGGTTGCACAAAAGAGGGTGGAGTAGTACCTGAAGGTGTAGCAGTGGTCATGGAGAAGATGTGGCCTGTCCAAGATGCGCCCTTCTTCTTAAAGTACTTCTGTAGGCTTTTCCCAGACATATTTTGACAATTCCCAGCCTCCTGAACCCCATACAACTCAACCTCCACTCCATCCATGTCAAAGACCAGCTGCAAATTCACAAAATCGAATTTGACTGGACTAATGGTACGCAACCAATCCAATCCCAACACCAGATCATTGGATCCTAACTGCAAAATCCGAACATCAAACTGGAACTGAACCTCCTGCATTGTCCAAGTAAAATCCCTGCAGACTGCATTACTTAGCAATACAGTTCCATCGGCCAATTTAACCCTCAAGGGAGTAGCCCCTTGTAATTCACAGCCTAATTCAGCAGCCTTCGTAGCATTGAGGAAGGTGTGGGTACTCCCTGTGTCAACAAGGACCATCAAGGATCCCTTCTTCACCTTACCCTTGATAACCAAAGAGTTAGCAGTGACACCACTGCTGAGGGCTTGCATAGTAACTTCAATTAACCCTTCTTCCTCTTGCTGTACAGGGCTCTCCACAGTATCCTCAAAGATACTATCATCCTCATCACTCCAAGGTTCCGGTTCCACAATATCTCCTTCAGCAGCCTGCAAAGCATTCAATTGACGCTTGGCCTCACAAACATGGCCATAGAAATAACGATCCCCACATTTGTAACAAGCTCCCTTAGTCATGTTTCCCTTGTTACCATTACCATTAGCAGGTGGAGTGGTCTTGGCTGGAGGAGGTTTGGAAGGTTCCCACTTCCTGCCATTAGAGCCCGAAGAAGAAGCACCAGGAGTAAAACCGCCAGTGGGACGAGGCAGGGGACCTCGGAGCTTCTTTCGACGAGCTTCGTTGGAAACTTCCTCCAATCTGGAAAGCTGAAAAGCATGGGCCAAGGACCGAGGTTGCCACATAGACATCACGGGCCGCAACTCTTCCTCCAATCCACTAATATAGCTCGAAATGAAATATTCTTCTGTCAAGGCTGGATTGTAGCGGATCATCTGAGACTTAAGTTCCTCAAATCGTTCCTGATAATCAAGCAAAGAACCTCGTTGACGAAGCTTGTTAAACTCGCCAACAATACCACCCAGGGACCAATCACTGAACCTATTGCATAGAGCAGACACAAACTCTTCCCAAACTAACTCCACACGGCCAGTCTTCCATCCCTCGAACCAAATATCTGGACGACGCTCAAAGTAAATCGAAGCAAGCTCAACTTTCTGATCCGCGGGAATGGCATATATCGCAAATAGCTTCTCGCACTTGCGAGTCCATTCACGAGGGTTATCCCCGTTGAAGGACGGAAAATCCAAACGCGGCAAGGGAAACGGATTGTTACCGAAATGATGCGGAGGAATTCGCTGATGCAGATGTGGAATTGGATCGCCAACGCGATTCCCTTGCGGCGGAGCACGGTGCATCCCTGCGTCTGGCTCCAGTGGTCGACGCGCCGGTGGAATGACAGGCTGAGGTAAGATGCCGCGGTCGTCGTTCCGAGCCACCAGCGGAGCATCCGCCTCGGCAACGACGACCTGTGGCCGTTGCTGACCTAATTCCGCGAGACGACGAAGAACTTCATCGAAGCGACCATCCAAACCATCAATCCGAGTGTTAAGCGTGGCCATCTGCAACGAATGACCGTCGGCCTTAGTGGACAAGTCGTGGAGCTGTCCGGCATGTGCGCGAAACTGCTCGCCCGTCGTCGTCATCTGCTCATCCATGGCGTGCAAATGATCGCCGATCTGTTGAATCTGAGTCTCGACGGCGATGGTGCGGTTGGTGAACGTTGCAAGCTTCTCCTCCATTCTCGTCGTCGCCATCCGGTCGAGCGATGGCTCTGATACCAAGTTGTCACAGCCGGGGTGGAGAGTCTCGAGAACTCGACGGAATAGCAATGGCGATTTCCTTTGCGGCGGAATGTTTGGAG